CATCTCACAACTATCCACTTAGGAATGCGGAGCACGATCTTTATCTGCTAACCCCAAGCTCAGAACTAGTTAAAGGCTCAATACTGTACAATGCCAAAAAAATGTACAATCATCTGCCTTTGAATATCAAGTCACTTTCATTCTTTCCCACATTTCGCAAAGCTCTGAAATCATACTTACTGGAGAGAGCCCTATATGCGGTAAACAACTTTTTTGTTGATGTTTAATCATGAACAATTTTGAATTCTAAAATCTTGATCATCTCACACACTGGTTAAAGATCTAGTATTTAATATTTAATATTTTATAATTCTTACTTGATTTTGTCCATTTGCAATTTTCCTTTTGTAAAATTTTATTGATACGCCTGTGTTCTGCAATGTCCATGTATGTTTTATTTGTAATTATAATGACGTAAATTTTTTTGAATTGATTTGTATTGTATGATTATTTGTATTTTTTTTGTGCTTTTGTTTGTTTTGTAAATGCTTTGTCGATGAAGCTATTTTGGCTTTTTGTACAATAAAGCGTTGTTTATTATTATTTATTTTTAATTATTATAATATTTATAATATTTAAAAGTAATACCTTGTAAGTAATTATATAGGTATTTAAAAACTAGGGTTAAGGCTCGTTGAATTTGACACTTTATGTCAGAATAATTATAAATTTTCGTATTTTTGCTTATGCGTAAAAGCGCGTTATGCGATTTACTTTTATGTCTTGGTTAAAATTAGTTTTTTATATTATCAGTCATGTCACAAAATTTAATATTTTCGTGACCTTTTTTTTTCTCCACAATAAGGGGCCGTCCTCTGCCGGAAACACTGCGACCTGTGAGGCCTATTGTGTTTGTCCCCTTTCTATATCTGCACCCATTCTCCTATCCCTGTGCCCTGCACTAACTTATGCAGGTCCTTGATAGGATGGGAGCATAGTTCCTCCGGTTCTAGCCTAGCTTTCCCAAATAAAAATGTCGCTTGCGATCCAGAGCTCGCAGTGACATATTATGTGCTCCGCTGTTTCAGGATCTTTAGCGCAAAGTCTGCAGCAAAGACTTCCTTGATACAGATTGAGCTTGTTCAGGTAACACTTGACAGCCATATGTCCTGTCAAGAGGACTGTTGTAATCCGCAATTTATTCCTGCTAAGCATTAGCAGTTCTTTTGCGGTTTTGGAGCTAGGTCCTTGGATAAAAGCCTTGCTGTGCCTGTGCCCGTGTCGGTTTCTCCAGTGGACATTCTGCTTTTTCCTGATCCAGAGTTTTAGTGCACTACGGGCCATACATTTGGGTATTCCCAGTACTGGCTCTGGACCAAGATAAGATGCCGATGATCCTTGCCTAGCTAGCTCATCGGCTTTTTCGTTGCCTTGGATGCCGCTGTGGCCCGGCACCTAGAATAATTTAATTCTGTTCCGTCGAGCCATAGCTTCCAGTTCACCTAGGCATTCCCAGACGAGTCTCGACGATACCTTTGGGCTCATAAGCGCCCCAAGTGCCGCCTGTCTGTTTGAGCATATATTGATGAGCTTATCTGAATAAGCTCTTCTATTGTTTTCTTTCGCACATCGTAGAATGGCGAAGATTTCTGTCTGGAATACGGTTGAGTCTTTACCCAAGGAAAACGATAAACTTACCCTTGGTCTTTCCCGAAATACTCCAGCTCCTGTTCCTTCAGCGGTCTTTGACCCGTCTGTATACCAGGTTAGTCCATCCTGAAGGAATGTTATATCTGTCCACATTCCTCGATCCATTTTGTTCACCTCGAATGGTTTGTGATAGTGATAAAGAGGGGTCATTTGGTCCGATCTTATTTGGAGTAGAGGTCCCCCGATAGGATTTCCCATCTTTTAGTGTCCTGTTTCTGTCCTATTTCCCAGAGACAAGAAACTTTGTTGTCGATAGAGTCCCATTCTTGCCTCCGCCTGGATCACTATGTGAAGAGGCGGAAGGTCCAGAAGCGCCTCCATTGATGCAGTGGGCGTTGATTTGATCGCCCCTGTTATGCTCAGACAAGCAAGTCTTTGCACCTTGCTGAGGCTGAGCATTGTTGTTTGTTGCATTACCTTAGGCCACCATACCAAGGATGCATATGTTACTGAAGGCCTCACCACTCCAGTGTACAGCCAGTGCACCATCTGTGGTCTAAGGCCCCAGATTTTTTCCATGAAGGCGTCTGACTACCGCTAGGGTAGTCACTGCCCTCCTTGTGACATTTTCCAAATGTCGGTTCCAGGTCAGTTTGGTATCAAGCGTGATTCCTAGATACTTGACCTCCCCCGAGAGAGGAATCTCATCACCGCAGAGTCTTAGAGGGCCTAGTCCCTCAAGTATTCTGCGCTTGGTGAAGGGGATTATTACGGTCTTTGTAGGACTAATATTTAGTCCCTTCCGTGTCACCCATAATTCCACAATCTTCAAGGCCCTATGCATTCGCTCCCTTACTGTTGTGTTAAACTTACCTCTGACTAACACGACCAAATCGTCTGCATATCCAAAAGTGTTGAAACCAGCCCTGTTGAGACTATTAAGCAGTCCGTCCATAACGAGATTCCACAGCAGAGGGGAGAGAACTCCCCCCTGCGGGCATCCTCCCGCCACCCGGACTGCAACAGTCTCATTTAGGAGGGTGGTATATGCCACTCGACTTTTGAGCATGCAGTCTATCCGCCTGCAGCAGGTCTCCTCTAATCCGAGGTTCCTTGTAGTTCTCGTCAGTGACTGAAATGAGGTGTTATCAAACGCCCCTTCTATGTCGAGGAATGTCCCTAAAAGCACTTCTCTTGTTTTGAACGTCGACTCCACTTTGCTTACTAGCTGATAGAGTGGCGATTCGGTTGATCGTCCTGCTGTATAGGCATGTTGGTCTTGGTGAAATGGTCTTTTTCCCATTATTTCATCCCTAACATACCTGTCCATTAGTTTCTCAAGAGCCTTTAGTACGAATGACATAAGACTGATGGGCCTAAAAGCCTTTGCCGTAGAATAGTCCAGACGCCCATTCTTGGGTATAAAAGCTACCCTGGTCAGCCTCCAAATTCTCGGTATATATCCTAAGGCCAGACTAGCTCTTAGTAGTGTACAGTTTGCTCGTCAGTAGGTCTGGTCCTTTCTGGAGTATTATTGGACAAATACCGTCCGGTCCCGGTGATTTGTATGGCTCAAATGAGCTTATAGCCCATTTTATCTTTGATTGGTCAATCACCCTTTTTGAAACCTGCCAGTCTTCCCTTGAGGCTCTTCTCGTGAGAAGTTCTCAAGTCCACTACTCTTCCAGGTTTCTGGGGATTGCTCCAAGGCTATTGATCTGGGAAAGTGTACCCGAAAGAGTTCGGTCAGCGTCTCTTTCCCAGTGGATGTGTATTCTCCTGCACTAGTTACAAGAGAGTTAATTGAGGTCTGAGAGTCCTTAGAGAGTATTTTTTGAAGTCTGGCACATTCTGAGGTACTATCAATGCCCTCGCAGTACCTCCTCCAAGATAATCTCTTTGCTCTCTTCAGTTCCTTGTTATATTCGGTCAAAGAGGTCTTATATTCCCCCCAATCGCCGGATCTTTTTGCCCTATTCCAGTTTTTCCTTACCTGCCTTCTCCTTGCCTCTAGCTGGACGGTCCACCAGGGTGTTGCCCGTTTGTGGCTTCTGACAGTCTGGGGGCAGTTTTCCTCAAAAGAAGATCTGATCGCGTCAGTCAATTGCTCCGCGACCAGTTCCACCTCAGTCGCATTCCTTACCATTGATTTGATACTCGTCAGTTTGCTAGTTAGGTCTGCCCCAAAGGCTTCCCAATTTGCATTCCGAGGATCACGGTAGGTTTCTACGGTCCTTTGTATTCCCGAGATTTCAAACCTTATGTGTTTGTGGTCCGAGCAACTCTCCTCCTCTGACACACTCCAGTTTTTTATGAAATTGCTAACAAAAGTGGTGGCTAATGTTAGATCTATAACTTCCTGCCTTTGTGTGGTCACAAAAGTAGGCCTGTTACCTTTATTCATTACGTCTAAATTATTTGCCATAAAGAATTGCAGCAGAGCTTCGCCTCTAGGGTTTGTGTCTGTGCTTCCCCAGAAAGTGTGGTGCGCATTTGCGTCCGAGCCAATGATCAACTGAGATCCATTTCCTCTGCAGTACCTCACTAGCTCTTCCACAGTCTCTGGTGGTGGTGGATCAGGGTCATCGAAAGGAAGATAAGCCGATCCGATTATAATGTGCTTCGGCCCTTCTCCGTTCGTTCTTATGTGTACCGCTGTCAGATCCCTGTTGCAGAATTTTAGTAAGGGCAGTACTTTTAAGTGTGTTTTAATTAATATGCAGGTCCTAGGTCTGTCAGAGGTTCTACTGTATATAAGTTCCACCCCGACTCCCTTTAGGCCTTTTATTTGACCCTGATTTATCCAGGGTTCTTGTATCAAGGCAATGTCACAGGTCTCCATTACCTTACAGAGGACAGCCGAAGCTGCCCTACTGTGGTGCAGGTTCGCCTGGACGACCCTCATTTCGAGACTCAGCGCCCGTCGGTGCCCGGAAGAAGACCCGTCCGAGCTTATAGTAAGCCTTGAACTGGGTCTGCCCAAGGGCACTAAAAAACGCTAAGTCGATGGAGAAGGCGATGGTTTGGCCATTCTTCTCCACCTTCCTGCTTAGTGTAAGCCAGTCTCCCACATTCAGGCTAGGGTTTCGTGACCTTTGAAAAAAATAGTATATTGTCTTCTTAGGAGTAAAATTTAAAAATGATACCTTTTTAAAATATTTCAAAATATTTACATTATTTCTTAAATGATTGGATTGAGGTTCAATGTGAATATTAAGTTTTCCATTGTATTTTTTTAGATTTTTATTTGTTTTTTTTCAGGGTTATTTCTATTTTCAGTATCTAGTATATTATAAATATTTATATATTTTATTTCTAGTCCTTTAAAATTACCGGCCACACTATAATCCGCTAATATTAAAGAACCCATTTAACCTTGCGTTTATTTATTAATCCAAAATAAAACTTACCCAAACTCTTCGAAATAATGGCATGCACTAGACCCACAGCTTCCTTTTCAATAACTTCTCTTGTGGCTTCCGGCGTGACGTCACTGGGAGCAAATCCAGTGCCTCCAACTGTAAATAAAACGTCGCACGGGTTGACAACATCATTGACAACATCCGTCAAAGCGTTGACGATCTGACGTTTGTCGTCGGCGACTATTTTTTTGAAGGTTACTCGAGATTGGGGAAATGATGTGATTATTTCGCCTTCCAATTTTGGTCCAGCCGTGTCCTTTTCTGGATGCTGACTGCAGGTTGTGCTCACTATAGTTGGTAGAAAGAGTACAATTATACAGGGTGTTTAAAAAAACATGTGCCATCTCTCGTGGAGAGATTCCTCCCGTAAAAATAAGATTTATTTTTCATATTAACATAGGTCTGATTCTGCTTTGTATCGTAGCTACAGGGTGTTAAAGTCTTAATACTTTTTCGATTTATTATAATTTTCCTCCGGCGTTTCGAATGAAATTTGGACGGTAAACGTAACTCTAAATGCGCCATATTTTAAAGCTAAAAAAGTGTCGACATATTCACCAGGCACGTGTATATGGGTGATCTGGAATATTTTTGTAAAAAAAAGCATGTACGCCACCGATTTTTTTTCTCTTGTGAGCAATATAGTGTAAGCAATTCATTGCCGATTAAAAGTTGTCTCTTGATATTTTGTCGATTTCGGCCTCCTTCATGAGATAAACGCAATTTTATTAATTTGCCTTGATCCAAGTCTAATAGCGTCCTTTAAAAAATTTTAATATCATTAACTTGCGAAAGTTATAAATAAGTACTTATTGATTCATCATCAAAAAATATGAAAAAAAAAGTTCCTATAAACATGGGTATGGAAATGCATAGTTTTAGAGTTACAGGATGTTAAAACTTTTTAAAATCAGGATTTTTGTAATTATTTTAAATACCATTATTTTTTTATTTCAAATTACTGTATGTTGGACTAATAGTAATAATAACTAATAATAATAATATTTAATAAAGAATTAAAGGTAAAATATATAATTTATTAATTTTATTTTAATTTTAATGTTATTGATTGTGATTAATAAAATTGCGTTTATCTCATCCAAAAACAAGGAGGCCGAATTGGACAAAATATCAAGAGATAACTTTTAATTGGCATTAAACGGCCTAAACAATTTCCATATTAAAAAAAAAAAAGTCAGTGGCGCACATGTTTTTTTTTAAATATTCCAGTGATAACCCATACGCACGTCTCTGTTGAATTTATTATTTTATTTATTATACACTTATAGTAACTTTTACCCCCAAAATTTCATTCAAATCACTAAAAGTACTTGGAAGAAAATTATAATAAATGGAAAGGTTAAGACTGTAGCTACTAAACAAAGCAGAATCGGACCTATGTTGATATGAAAAATAAATCTTATTTTTACGTGAGGAATCTCCCCACGAGAGATGGCACACATGTTTTTTTGAACACCTTGTACAGGGTGTCCGGAAATTAATGCAACAAAATTTGGTCATAGATTCTTGAAAAAAATAGGTGACCCGTATTTTTTATTTTTGGCCAGCGGCCCCCTTTTTGGCAGCCCCCTGAATTTCAAAAAATCACATACAGAATTTTTTCTCATAGATTAATTTGCACACGTTGTACATCTAATATAAGAAACAAATATTTAAATAATTACTTATAACGATTAAAATAATTAGATTAATGTCTAAAATTACCTGTTAAGATCCCAAAGCGAAACATTTCTGAAAAAAATAAATAAGGAAATTAATATATAATAAGTACAGGAAAAAAAAGTATGTTTAAAAAAATTAGGAATATTCTATGACATAGGTTAAAGATTTTGACAAATTTCATAAATGCTGCTAACATAAAATTTAGTTAATCTATTCACATAAGAAACATGTTTCCAGAAAATATCTCTCAAATATTCATAATCTTTAATAACAATTGAAAATTACATATTGTTTAAGAAACTATAGGCTGATTTATAATTTCTTATACAATATAATATTATGTCATTTTCATCAATTATCATTTTTCATTATGTATAGAAATATTTGAGGGATATTTTTCCGTCTGGAAAAATACTATGTATGCTATACTATTTACCAAAAAAGGTAAATTATAGAAAATAATAAAATTATTAGATACCTAAAAGGTTATTTCCGAAGATTCTTCTATTGCGCTACTGTCTCAAGTTATCAGATACAAATTTGCAAGTATATAGCCAATGAAATTAATGCTCTGCCACTACTATTTAGGTAGGGATTTATAAAACATATTGGCTGTTTATTTAAATGTTTTTGTTTGCATTCCTTTCATAGACACAGATCCAGTAGACGTACTTTATCTACAACAGGTTTAGATATAGACTTGTAGAATGTAGAATGTTTAGGAGGGGGTTAATTAATAAAACCGCGACCTTACAGATCGCGGTGTGTTCCCCTTTCTTGTGTTATAACGAGTTATAACTCATCATACACTCTCAGAGTTTTGAAAGCTACGTATTAGGCAAACGGATTCAAATATAAATAAGGAAGGAAGAGTTAATATTTTTAATTTTTTAAAAAAGTCCTGACAATGAGTTCTGCTGTTTAGTCCCAGTGAATATCGAACAGCTCTCTTCTGGAGCTTAAAAATGCGGTCAAATTGAGTCGCACAACACGTACCCCAGAATGGAAGGGCATATCTGAGGTGCGACTAAAAGTGCATAATAAATAGTTCTAGCCACTGACAAGTTAAGCTCCTTAGAAACAGATCTTAATGCAAAATAGGCAGAGCTTAATTTTTTCGACAAAGCGTCGATATGCATGTCCCATTTTAGAGAATTGTCTACAACAAGCCCTAAGAATTTTACAGATTTTACGACGTCAATGGTGGTGTTGTTAAGTACAAAAGGCTGTAGCGAGTTTTTATACGACATAGCTTTAGTTTTAGAAATGTTGAGACTCAGGAGGTTCGAATCGCACCAAATGGTGATTAAATCATTTGATATAATCCTCTGAAGTGCCGTGATGTCCTTGTTGCTCCAAGTGAGGCTAGTATCGTCCACAAAAAGACATATTTTACCACTGATGTTTATGTTAGCAATGTCTTTAATAAAAATAAGAAACAAAATAGGGCCTAGTACTGAGCCTTGAGGTACTCCACATTCTATTGGCTTGCTAGAAGACAACGTGGTATCCACCCTCAAAAGTTGACTTCTGTTCAGATACGACTTAAACCATTCGAGAGATGTTCCCCTGAGCCCATAGTGCTGCAGTTTATTAATTAGGATCTTATGATTTACACAGTCAAACACCTTAGAAAAATCACAGAAAATTGTTGCTGTAGAATGACGGTTATTTAGCTTTTAGCTTGGTGAGCGAGCACCCAGAATAGGACTTTATTTTCTTTCCCTAATTTGTTGAACTTCTCTAGGCATTCTTTGACCAACTTCGAATTGATAGTTACTGAGTTGATAGACTTAAAAACGTATAAAGTTTCCAGATCACATTGATCAAATATAAATATGTAAAATAATATTTTTTTATTCTATTTCAATTTACTCAAATATGATTTCGCTAAAAAAATAATAAAAAGTATGATAACCATTCTTAACTAAACTCACCGGCAAAAAAAAACCTGCCACAAAAAACTAGTCCTAATTTCAAAGTTGGATTTCTCGCGAAACACTCATTAGATTTTGATGATTTTTTTTAAATCGTAAATTAATTCTTTCTTTACGGATGCTACGTCAAAATTTTTTATTCCAAATTTATTTTGAGCGATATACAGGGCACAACAATAAGATAAGTTTTTTGTCCGAACTTTGTAACACGCTGTAGAGTGCAGCAGCTGTAGTAGCTTGTATTGCTCAATCAAGATGGGCTACATTAGCAATAGCTATTGCTAATGTAGCCCATCTTTTGTGAGCATTTTGTTTTTTTTTAATCACGACATTATCTCTGTTTGTATTGAAGATACGCTGCTTTGAAAAATGCTTCGCAGGCAGAAAGTTTTAAGTGTAAATAATGAAGGCAACGGTTGACAAATTAAAAAATGCCGAAGTCAACGTTATGTGTCCGATACCATGGGTATATCTCGAACAACAGTCCAGGATGACTGGAATCGGTATATGGAAACGGGAAATTTCACCAGTCGAGTGGGTTCCAGAAGAAAACGGAAGACAAATGCAATTGACGACCGCTTTATTGTCCTGAATAATTTACGAAATCGTAGAATTACAGCGTTTCAAAACCAACATCTGCTATAAGCCGTGCGTCGAACTCAAGTCAGTGAGAGAACAACCCGACGAAGACTAAAAGAAAAGAGCTTGTCTGCAAGTAGGACCTGCCACAGGACCCCAGCTACTTCCAAGATATCGTCGAGCACGTCTTCAGTTTGCGCGTTTCCATGTAAATTGGGATATTGAGCAATGGACTAAAGTCCTTTTCACAGATGAATCGCGGTTTTGCCTGCGAATCATTTTTCCGAGACGTTCGTGTATCTTCAATACAAACAGAGATAATGTCGTGATTAATAAAACAAAATGCTCACTAGAGATGAGGCTACAATGTGATTTGATTTAGCAATAGCTACTACAGCTGCTGCACCCTACAGGGTGTTACAAATTTCGGGCAAAAAACTTCGTCTTATTGTTGTGCCCTGTATATGCTCAAAATTAATTCGGAATATAAATTTCCGACGTAGCATCTGTTAAGAAGGAATCAATTTACAATTTAAAAAAATCATCAATATCTAATGTGTGGTTCGCGAGAAATCCAACTTTGAAATTGGGACAAGTTTTTAGTGGCCGGTTTTTTTCGCCGGTGAGTGTATATGTTGGAGGCAGATGCCGAATTCGGCTTATGTCCGAAATAATTAGACATATGGCGATTATAATTAAATATACTTACCTATATCCACAAAGTTACGCGGAAGAGTTTTGATTGCATTGGTTTCAACTTCCATGCGGCGGCGGCGGGTGTTAATCTTTTGTAGTTATATTATACCAAAAAAAGATTAATCCCCTCCGCAAAGAAGTTATATAAAGACTATTTATAACCACAATCCTTGCAGGGAAGATTGGGAAGTGGCCAAGCTAGTAATAACAGAACAAAAGCTGAAATGGGCGATCGACACCTTTCAGCCCAGGATGGGATCTTTCCTGCCCTTCTAAAGGAGGGTCAGCAAATAACTACTCACCATCTACTAAGCATTACAAGAAGCAATCTAGCGATGGGATATATACCAACCACATGGAGAAGAGCAAAAGTAATCTTCATACCCAAAATAGGCAAAACTGACTGGACAAATCCCAAATCATTTAGGCCTATTTGTCTCACATCGTTCATACTAAAAACGCTGGAGAAAGTAGTTGACAACCATATTGGAGAAAATCATCTAAAGGTTAAACCACTGCATGATAGTCAGCATGCATATAGAACGGGCAGATCCACAGAAACTGCTCTGTACCAATTAACGGAGCTAATACAGACAAGTCTGGATAGCAAAGAAACAGCAATTTGTGCCTTCTTGGATATTGCGGGGGCGTTTGACAATATACCACATAAGGTGGTCAGGCGATCTCTAGAAACAAGAGGGGTGAACAGAACTATTATTCGCTGGTTTTGGGAAATGCTGTCAACACGAACAGCAGAGGCTCAGATGGGCACCAAAACTGTAGCTGTTAAAACAACGCAAGGAACTCCACAAGGTGGAGTAACCTCCCCTTTGCTGTGGAGCTTGGTGGTGGATGAACTACTAGATGAATTAACTCTAGCGGGAATACACTGCATTGGGTATGCAGATGACATAGTCATGATCGCTCGGGGGAAACATGAAGGCACCTTGTGTGATATTATCCAAAGAGGACTCCGTATCACTGAGAGATGGTGTAGGACTGTCGGGCTGAGTATCAACTCAGACAAAACCGCGATAGTGCCATTCACCAGAAGGCGAAGTCTGAAAAACTTGAAAAGAATCCAACTAGATGGAAAGGAAATACTGCCAACACAGGAAGTTAAATACCTGGGAATAACCCTGGACAGTAAACTCCTGTGGAACAGGCATATTAAGAACACTACCAGCAAAGCCATAAAGGCTCTCATGATATGCAGAAGACTGGCCGGAAATAGATGGGGCTGCTCCCCTAACATTTTGCGCTGGATGTATACCATGATAGTAAGACCCATGATTACTTATGGAGCAGTTGCCTGGTACACAAAACAACGTAGAGCAACGGACGGCAAGGCTAAACCTATGCAAAGTCCAGAGACTAGCATGTGTTTGCATCACAGGAGCCATGAGAACCTGTCCAACAGCAGCAATGGAGGTCATTCTAGATCTAACACCACTGCATATTGTCATTGGTAGATATGCCAATGCGACAATGATTAGAATGGTCACTAACGGAATTAGTACTGGGAGAATTGTCAGATCAGGGGCTTGGAACACCCTCAAAAGGAAATACCACTTCTGCAACTCCCAGTGGACGATATGCCAAGAACGTACAACTTTGACAAACATGTCAATGTAGTATTGAGCAATAAGAAGGATTGGAAGAGCGAAACGCTTGCCCAGCAGTTAAAAGACCATACCATAACTTGGTATACTGATGCTTCCAAAACCAATACGGGAACAGGGATCGGAGTGTTTGGGCCGAGAGCTAAATACTCCGAACCAATGGGCACTACCCTAGTATCCTACAGGCAGAAATCTACGCTATCGAGAGATGCGTACAACTTATCTTAGATAGGAA